TTTTTGTATATATATATATATATATATATATATATATATATATATATATATATATATATATATACACACTGTGAGTTATTAAATCATTATGAATCGGGGTTTGATCTCTGCTTAGCTATTCCATTTATGTTTGCATTTAGCCTAAATGAAGGCTACTGTAATTAGAAATGTATTTTCTATTTAATGATTATAAATGTATTTTCTTGCCCCTGAAATTTTTATTTTTTTTATTTTTTATTTTTTATTTAGTCATTTAGCTTTTATCCAAAGCGACTTACAAATGAGGACAACAGAAGCAATCAATTGTAGTATTAAAACAACTAAAAACATCCAAACTAAAAGCTAAAACTTTATAAATACTACTTATACACATTTTAAAAATAAAGAAATTAAATAAAAATGACAAATGAATACAACACAATTTCAAAACAACATTTAAATGAAAAACAAAGAATAAAGCTAAAAACAATTCAAAATATTAAAGAACAAAAGGTATAAGAGTATAATAATGATTCTAACATAACACTAAGCCATATATATTATAAAATATTTTGAAATGTATTTTTGTATATGAAGGTTGAAACTAAATATATTTACATTTTTTAAAGATATATTTAATTGAACGTCAATGTTTAAAACATACATTTAAATACATTTTGGCCAGTTTTTTTTTTGCCATATGGGAAACTTTATCGCCATAATTCCAGAGTGTTGTGTGTGGTTGCTAGGTTGTTGCTAGGTGGGTATTTACTGGCGTCAGTCAAAAGAGCCCACCATAAATTTGCTAGATATGGTTTGGGTCCTTTTTCAATGTAAAATATGGGATTATTTGCATATGCCAGATGAAAATTGTATGTCTGATCACTTAGAAAAATAAAAATATACTTCTCTTCCAAAAGCGACATGCTTTTAGGTATAATCTGTTACGCAAATGGCATGAGACAAGTTATAATCAATTATGGTTTCTTCAAATCACTGACCTAAAATATAAAAAATAGTAATAGGGATGCTTACCTTAGCAAACAGCACATAACCAGCTAAGCATACTTGGTTCGACCTCTCTTCAAGCAGATCTGAAATGCACAAGTCAGATGTGATTAAACAGAATTTAACCAACACAGAATCCAGTCAAGACACTGAGCAGATCCCAGATGTAGCAGAAACTAATTTAATTCCGGATGGAAAAACAGACACAGAATGGTACAGGGTTTTCGGTATGATCCATTCAGATTTTGAGGAGAATCGTAGCATGTTTATCTGTTGTTTGTACTGCAGGGTTTCTCTCCATGTAAAAGCAGAGCTCTGTCCGCTAATGTCAATGAATCAGACCAGCTTGGCTACACTTATGGAGAAAAGGAGGCAATGAGAAACAACAATAACTTGAAGGTGAGGAGCAAACCCTGTTTTTCCCTTCAGCTGGAAAATCCTCAGGTTCAGAGGGATCTTTGTGAACTTTAGCTTAATTAGGGTCATATGTTGTGTTTCGAAAGAGAGGTGGGCGGTATGACTGAAATGGATATGTTATGTGTGCCAGTTTCTTCCTTATTTATATCTTATTAAAAAAGTCATATTTTGAGATATTTACAGTTTGAAAGTTTAGGGTCCAAAAGATTTTTTTTAATGATTCAAAAGTTGTTGTTTTTTTGGTTTTAAAGTCTCTTATGCTCATCAATTATGCATTTATTTGAAGAAAGGCACACTAAAAAGTGTAATATTATGAAATATTACAATTTAAAATATCTATTTTCTATTTGGATACACATTCAAATGGAATTTATTTCTGTGATGTAAAGCTGAATTTTCAGCATCATTCCTCCAGTCTTCAGTGTCACATGATCCTTCAGAAATCATTCTAATATGCTGATTTGCTGATCAAGAAACATTTCTAATACACACTCACACACACACACACACACACACACACACACACACACACGGGTTTGTTTTTATGGTTTATGGGGACTCTCCATAGGCGTAATGGTTTTTATACTGTTCAAACCGTATTTTCTATTGCCCTATAACCCTGTCCCTAAACCTACCCCTCACAGGAAACTTTCTGCATTTTCAGATTTTCAAAAAAACTCATTCTGAATGATTTATAAGCCTTTTAAATTACGGGGACACTCAAAATGTCCTCATAAATCACCTTCTCGTTGTAATACCTATGCCATACCCATGTCATTATACAAATTTGTGTCCTCATAAACCACGTAAACATGCACACACACACACACATGTTGTGTTTCCATGTTTTATGGGGACATTCCATAGGCATAATGGTTTTTATACTGTACAAACTGTATGTGCTATTGCCCTACACAACCCTACACCTAAACCCACCCCTTACAGGAAACTTTGTGCATTTTTACTTTCTCAAAAAAACTCATTCTGTATGATTTATAAGCTTGTTTCCTCATGGGGACCTCAAAAATGTCCCCACAAGGTCAAAATGTACTAGTATTACTATCCTTGTGGGGACATTTGGTCCCCATAACGTGATAAATACCAGGTACACACACACACACACACAAACACACACACACACACACAAATCAGAATTCTTCAAAAGAGCAGCATTTATTTGAAATACAAACCTTTTGTAACATTATAAATGTCATTATTAATGTCTCACTGTATCACTCTTGATTAACTGAATGTATCCTTGCTGAATAAAAGTATTATATCTTTGAAAACAAATCTTATTCTTGCTGAGTAAAAGGATTAATATCTTTAAAAACAAATCTTACTGACCCCAAACTTCTGAATGTTAGTATAGTCGCATTGTAAAATATATTGTCGTCATGGTTACCAGAAAAAAGTTGCAAGAGAATAGCGTCCCAACTGTGAGATATAAAGTAGCAATGACAAGAAATAAAGTCACATTTATGAGAAATAAAGTTGCACATGTGAGATATAAATACAATTACAGTTACTTGCAGTGATTTTACAATATAACTTACTTTACTTTATGTTTGCTTATCATTTTATTAAGAAGAGTTTATTAAATAGCCATGTGATCATTTTTAGGATAATCCAAGAAGTGTTTGGGACAAATCCTATTATGTATTTTTGCATTAATCCATTTTTTTTAACACCAAAATGCAATGCAGTCCTTTCCACTGTTATACACACTGAAATACAGTATATATCACTGTATAAAGAATACAGTGTACATCAGGGATTTCTAGAATACTATTTCTTCTAGCATACTAATACCATGTGCATGTTTGCAGATGCCAGTTATTAAGGTATCAGACGATGACGGCAAGAACTGCGACAACGAGGATCAGAGCTGCCAAGAGACGTCCTGCAAGAGATCTCGCTCCAACTCCACCAGTGAGACAAACCTGCACGAACACAGCAGAGAAGCCAACTCAAGACACCTTTAACTCAATGCGAGAGTCATAACACTATCCCGATGAATCTCTCAGTATTTATTTTTATAGTCTCATTTAATTGGGCTAATCCCAGTGCACTGAAGAATAGCAGCCTCTTCATTAACTTCTTAATCTCTTGAGAACATCGCACAGAAGATGCGAACACATGTTTTTGCGCTCCTGAACATAAACATGATGTCGTACTCTTGCTACACTGATGCTTACATGCTTTTCACATCGTCCAACATCGAGAGCACGTCTTATGTAACTTCACATATCCACATGGTTTTAGGCGTTCACCCGTACTGGATCGGAGACTTGGATACCATCATTATGAAGACGCCAGAGCTGTTCCCGTGTCCCGCCCACGCCACCGCAGGCTTTTACGGCAACAGGAAGTCTCTCTCTCAGCAGCTGGAATTCCCTCACAACATTCCACAGGTGAGGGAGGGAGAGCTGATCACAGAATCTGGACCGTTTTGGTTGCATTAAAGGGATATAAAGGAAAGCGATATGAAGTTGCTTTCTTCTGTTGAGCCACTGACTTCCATAATATTTTTCCCCATACTACGGAATTCAATGGCTACTGTTTTTCAGAATGCATTTTGTGCTGCGTTGGCCAGTGGAATGGGGGAAAAATGCAAGGTCTCGAGAAGCATTTTTTTTTAAGTTGAACTTATTTTAATTTGAGTTGCTCTTTTACAATAAAAGTCAGATACAAATGGGCATACTTTAATGCTCATTAATACAAAGCTTTATCTCATGTCTGCCCACATCATTTATTGAAACTAAGCTGCAAAAATTGGTCATTCAGAAATGGTCATGATCTATCACTATCGTATGTGTCACAGACCAGGTGTGTGGAGGCAGGCAGGATGACGAGGATGACAAGGATATTTAATGTAGCGACAACAAGGCAGAGACAGACACACACTCGGGGTAACATTCACAATAACCGACCAACTAGAACACAAGAGACAGGAACAGATATAGGGCAGTTAACGAGGGACAGACAGGTGAGCATAATGAGGTGATTAACTAATAATTAGACAGGCTAAACCAACACCAGGAGAAGAAACCACAACAAACAGTCCACAGGGGTGTTACATTACTCCCCCCTCCTGGAAGGTGCGTCCTCGCACCGTAGAAACAGAGGGAGGGGCGGAGGGGGACAAGGCAGTGGATGTGAGATGGTGACAAGGGAAGGCAAAGGGCTGACAGGCAGAGCAGACAGGTGGAGGTTTCGGCGGAGGACGGACTTCCAGGAGGAGGACGGCTAACAGAGTCCAGGGAGGGGGCTATGGAGGCAGGAGGCAGGGAGACGACAGGAGGGAACCGGAGCAGGAGGAGCCAAGTGGGACCCTGGCCACAGCTATAATAGCGGCCCACGGTGGAGCCGATAGGGGGAGGATCCATGGAGGAGGAATGTCCACCGACTCCAGGGGGCCGACCAATGGCGGCGGAGCAGGTAGAGGAGGAGCCCGAGGCGGAGACGGCGAGCCAACGAGCCAGGGGGATGCCGAAGATCCGGGGGGCCAGGGTGGAGCTGAGGGCTCTGGTGACCAAGGTGGAGGCGAAGATCCAGAGATCCGCGGCGGAGCCGGAGCGACTGAGGACAAAGGTGGAGCTGACGGGAGGAAGGAACCCAACGGAGCCGGTAGGACAGAGCGACGAGGC